CAGGAGAATGGCGGGGACCCGGGAGGCAGAGCTTGCAGTGAGCCGAGATTGCACCACTGCACTCCAGCCTGGACAACAGAACGAGACTCTGTCTCAAAGAAAAAAAAAAAGAAAAAGAAAAATACAAAAATTAACCAACCATGGTGGTGGATGCCTGTAGTCCCAGCTACTCAGGAGGCTGAGGTGGGAGGAGTGCTCAAACCTGATAGGCAGAGGTTGCAGTGAGCAGGGACCACGCCACCGTACTCCAGCCTGGGCAACAGAGCAAGACTCCATCTCAAAAAAAAAAAAAAAAAAGGAAAGAATGAAAAAGAAAGTTATCTATGGAATTGTAATTATGGATGTCAGTTGTGATCTTTTTGTTTGTTGGTTTTTTGAGACAGGGTCTCACTTGCATCACGCAGGCTGGAGTACAGTGGCACACTTGGCTCATTGCAGCCTTGACTTCCCAGGCTCAGGTGATCCTCCCACCTCAGCCTCCTGAATAGCTATGACTACAGTTGTGTGCCCCCAAGCCTAGCTAATTTTTTGTATTTTTTGTAGAGACTGGGTTTCACCATGTTGTCTAGGCTGGTCTTGAACTCCTGGGATCAAATGATCCACTGTACCCAAGCTAGTTGTGATCTTACATTACAGAACACCTACTATGTACCAGGCACTGGGATTTACGAATGAGAGGTGAGGCTGGGCGCGGTGGCTCAAGCCTGTAATCTCAGCACTTTGGGAGGCTGAGGTGGCAGGGAGGAATCTCCTGAGGTCACGAGTTCGAGACCAGCCTGGTCAACATGGTGAAACCCCCACCTCTACTAAAAATACAAAAATTCACTGGGCGTAATGGTGCATGTCTCTAATCCCAGCTAGTGGGGAGGCTGAGGCAGGAGAATCCCTTGAACCCGGGAGTCAGAAGTTGAAGTGAGCCGAGATTGTGCCACTGCACTCAAGCCTGGGCGACAAGAGCGAGACTCCATCTCAAAACAACAACGACAACAAAAAACGTAGTGGCTCACACCTGTAATCCCAGCACTTAGGGAGGCCAAGGTGGGCAGATCACGAGGTCAGGAGTTCAAGACCAGCCTGGCCAACATGGTGAAACCC